GCCACACGCGTCCAACTCAATGAAATTGGCATGCCTACGCTTATGCGATGGATATAAAAAGTCTACACACCCCGCATCCAATGCCAGGTGTAATCTAAATATAGCGAACGAGATGCTTATTTAAAAAAACAAAAAACTTTGTGGATGTCCGACATCTCCACTTCACTTTCCTCAGGTAGTTTTAGTCTCCTTGTTCAAATAGCTGTTCACATTCCGGCCACGTTGCTGCGGCACAAGCACTGCCTCACCCTCTGTCTTTCCACATCCCTTATGTCACCCCCTTCGCCCCCCCCTCCCCCGTACGGCTCCCCCTCGACGCTCGTCACTCCCCGCCCCTCCCTATGTGATTGCTTGTTAGTTGGTATGCAGGCACGGAACCCCATTGTGCTTTCTTGCCTGTCAGCACTCCTTCGGATCCCCTCCCTCTCTCTCTCTTTCTTGCTTTCTTTCTTCCCTCCCTTTCTTTCTTTCTGTTCCATCCCCTTTAGTCCACTCTTTCTATCCAAAAAAACACAGCACGATCCCAGAAGAGCGGAGAGTGGAGGAAAGGGGCTAGAGTGGATAAATGGATGGATGCCCGGGGAAGAAAGCTGTGATATATGGTGGATTGGACAAGGGAATGTTTTCACAAAAGCACAGAATTAGGAAATAAAATAATACCCCAAGAGAGATAAAGGCCTTAAAAGTGCGAATGACAGGACGAGAGCGAGGGGGGGGGGAAGGTAGGCGGGAGTGGTTACGGCCATAATGTTTTGAGGATGGAGTTCTTTCTGTGAGGGAAGCTTGCTAGCAGAATGACAAATGGGTCTCAAGTGACAGAGTATTATATTAAAAAGTAAATTGATATGCAAATGTGGAGCGTTGGAGGACAGGGATAGCCTGTCATCACTGAAGTGGAACAGAGGGAAAAAGGTGAGGGCTCGGCGGAGATGGCAACACAGTGTAGAGGTCCATTAGCATGTGAGCGTGCCTGTGTGTGTTCGTAGTAAGTACGCATTAACATAAAGTTGCGTGCGAATGTGTGTGTGTGTGTGTGTGTGTGTGTGTGTGTAGAATGGGCATGAAGTGCAGTTGCGTGTCAGCAAAATAGCAGATCGGAAGACATCCCGCGATGGCAAACTGTGCCAACTTTGAACTGCAACGGCATCGGCGTGAAGAATCAGCCAGAGGGAATGCGAGACATCCTTATTAGAAACTTTACCTCACAACTCCTAAACGTCAGGATGGAAACATAAATACTCGTGAAAACCCTCATCGCTACTTGACATTTGCCTTTTGGGGGGGGCCAAATTGATTGGGTGATTGTGTAAATGTGACACCCAACATCAGTGTTAAATCTTTCATGCACATTGTAACCTGATAGCACGATAAGCTGTAGGAACCGCTGTCCCCGCAAGGGTTAAAAAGCCACAAACTCCTTGGCGAACGATGCAAATGCCGGTTGCATCAATGATGTTCCGCGTGCGCGTCCCGCGGTCTTGGCAATGTGACATCCTTGCATGACTGACGTGCAAAAGCGGAGGACTTTGTGTTTGCGGCGCACGCGACCGGAGCTTTAGGCGATTGTCACCAACTCGCCAAGACAAAGTGACAAAATCGAAGAGACGCGCATGGATAAGGATTTGAGCCGAATCGCCAGTCGGGCTGACGTTATTGAAAATATGTAGGTCAGGATAACCTGGTTGTGAATGCGGTGTTGTGTGTGTGTGTGTGTGTGTGTGTGTGTGTGTGCGCGCGCTTGTGTGACGTGCGGTCAATTCAGAGGCTTCTCTCGCAGCAACTTCAACTCACGGCATTCAAAACAAATACTGAACCTATTTTTAAGCTACAGAAAAGAGCGGTAACCATCATGAAGCAAGCTCAATATAAAGACCCCAAAGTCCATAATTTATCAATTTAAAATACTCTGAAATTTTATGACTACGATGAATTCAAAGGTGCACAAATTATCTACAGAGTACGGAGTAATCTACTTCTTCACAGTATTCGGATAAAGCGAAAATATGTCTCTGCTCGGGTGTAAATTTGTGGATGAAGTATGAGAAAGATCTGAAAATGAAAATGTACACGACATCTTTTAAAAGTGTAGAAATATTGTAAATGTTTGTCGGCTTGCCTGCCTCGGTGGGCGACATTCGTGTTTGCTAATCAAAGCTAATCGCATAAAAATCTATCAAATCCAATCGAGCAAAATGTGCCGCTTAGGACATAAAAAAAAAAAAAAAAAAATGACAATGTAACTTTTGAGATCTGTAATTTTGGACCTGTTCCTGATTCCGTCAATTAACATCATATCGAAATGATGATGTGCAACTTTGGGAAAAAATGGACTCCATTGGATGGACAAAAGCTTTCAAATTTGACTCGGTAGCTTGCGGCTTTTAACTCAGGCGACCAACACTTTGTGGCGCCCAAACACAGAAGACAGGGAAACAAAAGGCAAAGCCGTGTCAGGTTTCACGCCATGTTTCAGAGTGTAGCGCTAATGATTCATGACACTTTTAACTGGAGAGGAGAAATGAGTCTCTCCGTAATTACTATGGAAATGTGTTCATTTCCCATCAGACACACTCATTCACATCTGTAACCATGCACTGTGCATACACCCCCCCCCCCCACACACACACACACCCACATGTATTAAATATGAAGCAACAGAGGCATGCTTTTGGTTTCACGGAACATGTATGCTGATGCGGAGGGGGTTGTGTGTGCACCCATGGGATGATCACAGGAGTGTGACTCAGTGCCCCCCCACCGTCCCCCTGCTCCCCATATGCTCTAAACACATGCCCCAAAGGGGTATGTGTGCGTATTCGCGTGTGTGACAAGGGGATAATGATCGGCTGGCTCATGGTGATCGACTGGTTTGTGCCCAGCTGATAGCCAGATGACACACCCCCATCCTTCCTTAACCGCCCCCAAATACTAGTTTCCTGTGGCTCTGATTGTGTGTGTGTGTGTCTGTGTACTGTATTCCCCAACCGTGCATACATGCAGTCAGCTGTGTCACACCCAAAAATTAGCAACAACAGCATCAAACACCAAATGGCTGAGATTTAATGAGCAAGCACCAGAACCGGCCCTCTTGCCCAATTGCGCATCTCTCAAAATTGCCGCGATTAGCCAAAACTGCAAGTAATCCCACCCCTCTCAAAAACACCTAAATATACTAAAAACGATGACCCCAAAACTCTTTAATATTGCTTCAACCTCATCTTTTCATTCAAATTTTGAGTGAGTTGATTTTTATGGGAAGTAAACAAAACGAGTGCCTGATGTTGGTTTGCCGTTCAGCAGTTTTGTGCTGTCCTTGAATGATCGTTTTTATGCACGAGAGCCCTGATCATAACACGGGGCTGTTTTTTTGACTGTTCAAACCCGTTGTTGTTGAAGGGTGGATCTTTTATACATGCATTGAGAAATGTATTCTGAAAGATGAACTATATTGAGAACTTATTTTGCACAGATGCTGCCCGTTTAAACGGGCACTTTTGACATACAGCTGGTTAGGAAGTGTGTAGTCCTCTGTGCCCCGCCCCCCACCCCAGGAGTACAGATGAAAAATTGTGGCCCCATCTAGCATTTCAGATGCCCATCCTTGATGTTTTACTATCATACATAACTATGTATAATGGCATATGGACTTGTGGCTTAAAAGCGAAGCGCGGATAGTCTCTGTCGCTGAATAAACAAGCGCATTTAATGAATGTGCAATATAATAGATAGCATATAATAAAGTTGTCGCGGCCAGCGCAATCCACTTCTTCCTCGGAAATTGTGTCACGTTGTTTCTTGTACAGTGACAATAACAGCAAACTATATATGGCGCCTCAAAATTTTGCTACCCAATAAAGATGCCATTTTTTTTTTTTTTCATTGCGGCAAGTCGTTCCGTATGCAAGAGTCAATCACCGGGCGCGAGTCGCCGACTGCCATTTGTTGGCAGTTGTCCAGTCAAGCCGCGCTCAGCCGCATATGTCGATATGCGGCGGGCCTTAGGGAAGTAGAGACAAGCAAATTAGAATTCAATTCCCCCAACCATCAGACAGACGAGGCCACGCTGTGTTTAAATCATTTTTAGTTCATCATTAAGTGAAATTGCTTTCTTATTTTATGGGTTTGGGCCTGAAATATTTGTGCAGAATCTAAAAGAGCAGCAAGTCAGATGTTTATGGCTGATGGGGGCTGTTAAACCCGTTCCTGGATAATGCTCGACATCGTGGAAAAATACACTCACAGAAACAACTCGGCGTCATCCTCCTGCAAGGTCGGCATAACGCAATCTGTTAAACACTTCCTCGCAGCTGGACAACAGGCCGGTTGATCAACGGATCAATATTTTGGTCGTCGCACGGAGACCACACCGCAGGGTATGCGCACAGACGGGTGGGAGGGGGTCAGCATAGGAGTGTGACCCGTAGTAAATCTGGAGGCGGTCATGGCCAGAGGGGCTGTAGCGCGTTAATGCAGTCAACGTGTATGGAACATCTGTGACTCTCACACATGCTCAATATTTCGCAAACAGCAATGTTGGGAGTGTGTCACTGACAGCCAGAACGGGAGGAAATGAAATCTAATTGTAACATGTATTTGTTACATATTTTGATGATGCATATTTTGATGCATTTTTATGTTTTAGAAAAAAATTTTGTCTGAATTTTAGGCGGGCTTGGAACGGATTAGGGCATTTATGTGGAAAACCCGTCTCTACTTAAAAAAAATTCTAGTTAAGAAATTTCTAGGTAAGAAATTTCTTCCAGAACCAATTAATTTCGTAAGTAGAGGTACCACTGTATTTAAATATATATACAAAATGAGGGATCGGTTGTTTTAAAAATAATCAATGCATTTTCAATATGCGATACGGATTTTAAAGGAGTCTTTGTACTTTCTCCGCCATGAGTTTTCTTCTGGTGGAGAAAGTGCGCATATGGGTTGGCGCGCGTGTGCGCTCGTACAGCAGGATGCTCACCCAGCTGGCTATTTGTTTTTTGCAGGCACTGTGGATATATCAAAGCCAAGCAGGACCCTGATGAAGAGAAGATGCAGTTCCAGCATGGCCGAGGTAATAACATCACCTTAATAGAATTCACACATACAAACACCGAGGCGTACATAAACACAGATGCATGCCCCATTTTCTCGGACCCGTTACTGCTAACCTTGCCTTGCACATCAGCACGGATGCAATGTATTTCATTCAAAGAAAAATGTCTCAAATTGCGATTCCTTATGCAAGCATCCCAAGAGTTGCCGACTAAAACTGTAAAGAAAGACATTGGTTTTATTTAGGTCAGCATCAACATAATTTTATTTTTTATTTTTTGCACGCGAACGTGCGCTTGTAGGATGAGGCTCCTTCTGGGTTCCTGTTAAAATGACGTGTCATTTTTATCACTGCAACTAACAAAGCAGTTACTCGACGTGTCTAATTATGTAACCATTTTAACACCATCTGAGCAGCGTACTCGTGTCGCCACGGGCAGTCAAACGGCAGGGATGGCAACCGCCATTTTTATGAAAGCCCATAAAGCCAATATGCCGGAACATTTATGAGATGTGGAAATACAACTCATGTTTGTTCATTCGGTTCTTTTCTCCCTCATTTGCATGTGCACAGTCAAGCTTCCCGGCAGTCGGACCTACATCCATCCTCACACCTATGAAGACCCCAACCAGGCTGTCAGGGACTTCGCCAAAGAGATCGATGCGACCAATATTCGCATCGAGAGAGTTATTGGAGCCGGTACGCTTGAAAACATATGTGGTTCATTTCGTCCTGGGTATTATAACATAAATACAGTCAGCCCCTGTTTATTAGGGTGGGCATGTTCCAGACACACATTTTTCATAGTTTCACACCTCCAACAAGTTTTGAACATCAACACACACAAAAAAAAAAATCTTTTCACTCTCTCACTGACACATACAACGAAAGAGAATTGAACACTTGTAGATTTAAGCACCAAAATGTACCAGCAAACCATGTAATTTCATTGAGCAAAAGTCAGCTAGCTGACGCTAACATATAATGTGAAACTCCATTGATGGGCTAACGCAAATTAGCCTGGCTATGACAGTATTTGCAAGCCGTCCAACAACAGCGCAAACAACGATATTGATGGGCAGAGACTCTGCTATGTGGGAACAATTACTTTACAGCTTAGTAGGGGACCTTCTCTGCTTCTTCTTGTACTTAATACACCGCAGCTACAGTAAGCTACCAGTGTGCCTGGCATGTTGCCGTGTTACTACAGTGAAGACGTGCAACTTAAAAACCCATGCATGGTCGAGTGCGGGTGTGACCCATTGATCATGTTGGTTTCTTTTTTTTTTTTTTTTGTGTGTCCGTATTTGTAGGGGAGTTTGGGGAAGTGTGCAGCGGGCGGTTGCGTGTGCAAGGCAAACGTGAAATCTACGTGGCAATCAAGAGTCTGAAGGCGGGCTATTCGGACAAACAGAGGCGGGACTTCCTGTCAGAGGCCTCCATCATGGGACAATTCGACCACCCGAACATCATCAGGCTGGAAGGAGTCGTCACAAAATGTGAGTCATGCTTCCGTGTGGGTTGAACAGTTGATATAATATGACACACACACCCTACAGTGGAATGTTCTTATTAACTTCATTTTTTTCTGAGAATCTTTAATGGAAAATTAGGGGGCGGCAAAAAGCGATTTTCTACACAATGCCTTGAGACACAAATTTTGTTGTGGAGCCACACTTGGGTCAAAAAAAGCTTGTGCATCATGATATCATATCATTGTGGTTCTCTCTGGGGTGTGCAACATGGCCACTGTTATAGTCATGCAGACGCAAAGAAGAATTTCACAACTACTCCTATGGCTCTGTAATCTGCAGTAAACATAGTCAATTTTCACTGAGGATAAAGAATGTATGACTGAGTACTGTGATACGTTGGTCTGTTGTGTTGATGAGCTCGAAACGTAATAACCCCGCCCCCGGCAGCGCTATTCGTTAGCCCGTCTATAGCGTTTTGAATCGTGCGTGACCATGAAGCTACCTGAAGGCAATTTTCTGTGGTTGTTTTGAAAATTATGTGTATAAACGAGGACCGCCAATCAACAGCTTGAAGTCTTTTTTTTTTTTTTTTTTTTGAGGAATCAGCAAATTCCACGGATCGCTTTGTGATTCAAAGCAATATTTGTCCGAATCTTTGGTTCAGCAACTGATTGCGAATCGAGGTCCACTGTACCGCCATACATGGACTGCCGCACACAGCCGGCGTAAACAGGAGCTGACCCTTGTTCGGATAGATTTCCATTACCATGGTTACGCCTACATGACACATGGCAACTGCGACTGTCCTGCGCTCTTCAAATAGCTACTTGTTTACTTCACGACCGTGGTAGAGCCATTGTGAGCGTCTCTGCGCGTCTGCGTGTGTGTCGGGGAGCGACACAGGCCGGGGTTCAACAACAAGGCTGATTGGTTATCTCTGGCGCCCGCTCTAGCCATCACTCGCTCCCTTTTCCATCTCCCCTCTTGTCTCGTATGTCCATCTCGCGCTGCGGCTTTGTCCCTCAGTGTTCGTCTTATCTTCTCATTTAGTCTCTCCTCTCTCTTTCGGTCTATCTCTCCATCTTTATCTCTCACTCGCTCCCATTTCGCCGGCAGATGACGTGCCCTGATGTTGGTCTAATGAAAGCGGGAACAGATAACACGCTAGCTGTTGCAGCGGAGACCACCGCGTGTCAATCAAAATTTGAGTCGGCTTTTACACACGAATGGTAACGTGCGCTGCAATTGCGGTGGAACCTTAAATGTTGAACACAACCGGACTAACTGACCTCTGACTTGTTTCGTGATTTTTTTTTTTTTAATGTGTTGCATAATTCAACTATTGCCATCATAAAAATGGCCTGATTGCGCAGAAAAAAATCCTCTTTCAATTTAACTACTTTAAAGGCAATATTTTGTGTTTTTGTAGTCAAATTGATTACTTTGGAAAGACAAGTCGACCAAAATGTAGGGAGGGGATGGGGTGGAGGGGGCGCTTCGAGTGTTTAGCCCAGAACACACAGCACCTGGTCAGCAACACAAGACTGAATGCATATTCATGAATATCAATAATTCATAACATTAATTGGCTGTGATTTTCACCCTCATGAATATTCACCAGTGTGCAAACAATTGATGCAAAAACATACTTATTAATTGCCTATTTGCTTTCTGTAAATAAGGCTTCATCATAAATGCGACCTTTTGCATGCAGGGCGGAGGCAGGCGGATTAAGGAAATGCTTCTGTTATGGCATTGTGGGTTTTAATTTCACTTTTTGTCATGCCGTGAACCGAATAGCGTGCATCTCGAAATTCGGTGACAAAAAGTAGACTGAATTTTCGACTGGCTCAAAGGTGGTCTATTTCGCAGTGTCGGTGGTGTTGAGAGGGTGATGGAGCTCCTCCGAAACAAATCTCACGAGCAGGACGTCATTTCACAGGTCACAGCCCAAGGTGTGCGCGGGTGGATTGGGTGGGTTGTTGATGGCCCAGTTCAGATGGGTCAATAATTCCTGCAGGCTCTTTTCTCCGGCACCAGCTGGTCCCTTTACAGCACCCTCAGTATGCAATCAGCCGGGCTGACCTCGCGTGCACCGGGCTCAGATGGGTTCAAGAGGGGTCGAGCTGCTAACTAGACTTCAACAGGGGGAGAAGGAGGATTTGCAATCGCGCTTTTCCACTCGCACGGAGAAACTCTTGGAAGATTTCTAAATTGGGCTATAAACGCAACAACAAATGTGTGTCCATTTGAATCATTTATTCACATGAAATGAATGCAGGTACAAAGACAAGAACGTACAACTAAAGTACATAATTATTCCTTCATCCATACTTCGCCGCTTCTGGGGATTCAAATGAATTCACAAATGTCAATTATGTCAGTTAAACTACATATGACTATTCAGTAAAGCGCCGCACTAATTTGCTGTCACTTATTGAAAAAAAAAAAATGCCCTTTGTGCAACTTCTCCAAACTTTAAAACCAATCCCAGCGATTGTTCTCACTGAGAAAAAGAGAAAAGTCTTTGTGAGTATTTATTGTAATTTTGCGTAGGACCTTGTGTGGAGTGTGTGCTACTCGTGCATTTTGGCTGCAATCTTTTCAATTCCGGCGCTTGTCATCCTTTTATACGCGCGTTCTTGTCAGCTTACAAGCGCATAAGCCTTCAGCTCCTGCCGTGTTCCACCCTAATAAGCATCTTTGCTGTCTGTCATCTGATTGTTGCTATTGTCTTGCTGATTGGTGGGCCACACGCAAGAAAAGAGAGCGAGAGAAAAAAAAAAGACCCCCCTTTCTCTATCCGCACATCAGGAAAAGCGCCACAATCTGCGCCCTCTTCCTCCTCCCTCTCATCATCCCTTCATCTCATTCACCGCATCTCTAATTTTATCCGGCCGCCGCTCGTGCATTTTTTGAAAAGAAAATGCTGCAACAATCAGCTCATTGGAGAAAACCCTCAATTATGGCACTCCATCTCGTCTGCCGATCAAATAATCTGCATATGCATTAAGATGCTTCAAATTTTAGCAAAGCTTCTGCACTGACTTCATTCCATTTTGTCCTCCGTCTGGAGTATCAAGCGATCAGCTCCAAATGCGCACCTTTGCTTGTCGAACAATACACTGCGTAAAAGGCGGTTTGGATCGCTCGTATGCAGATCGGTGGAGATTGGAGCGACCGCAGAGGCAAACGAGGGGGAGTTAAGATAGGACGAAGAGGTGATGATGGTTGCAGGAAGGAGGGAAGATGGGGGAGAGGTGGCTGAGATGAGATGGGATACAAGAGCGAGGAAATTAGACAACATTGGACTTGGAGAACAAATGAGGGTGACGGGGAAGATGTGTGCAGAGATTTCGGTACGAGAAGGGTAGGCAGGCGAGAGGGCGGATGGCGAGGAGATGAACGTGAGGAAATGAGAGGAGGGGAGGTGGAGAGAGGCGAGGAGATAAGCTTATTGAATTTCTGTCTACCTGTTATGCAGCAACACTCCCCCTCCGCCCAGCCTCGCATGGCGTGATCTGTCCTGTTTTAAAGCAGTGTATCATTTTGTTCTGAACCCTTAATTTTCTCTTTTCTACTTCAAACCACATTCAATAATGCCACGATGCAGGCCTCTGGCACAAAAAAACTCGTAGTGTAATTGTACTCATGTATACACACAGTCGGCAATTTAATTTCCACTCCCACTTGTACGCTCGTAAACAGAAACAGACACTAAAAATGATGTTTACCAGATAGGCCATATGTGTTGTTTACATCCCTTCTATTGTTGTTTTTCCACTGCATGGGTCTACTTGGCTCTACTGGGTTTGGGGAGGCTATGGGGGTTGGGGGAGGCTCTATTTCAAAATAGTACAGTTGATTAGGGGGGCAAAACGGACAGTTGACCGTATTTACTGAAAAAAAAAGTCTTGGATTTACTTAATTCCAACATGCCAATCGGTTGACATGATTATCCATCCATCCATCCATCCATCCAACCAAACTAGAATGGTCTGTCGAACAAAAGCCAGCTAGCTTAATGCTTACATATAATGTGAATCATCATTGATGGGCTAACGGAATTTAGCATAAATGTTACAGTAATTAGAAACCTTCCAAAAAAATCTGCTACTTAAACACACACGGAGCAGCAACTTTTGTGTTTTACATGCACTTTAGCAGTTAGCATGCTTCTCCATTTTGCTCTCCCTGGGATTAGCGACTCCCATCCTCCGCCTGTGATAGCAGTGCTAGTCAGAAGTAGAGCTTATTCGCTGGCATGGATGTGAGGACTACTTACTTCACCGCCTGGAAGAAACATGATTGAGCCACACTAGCAAAACAAACCGAGCTGGTGTGGCGGAAGTTAGCTTAGCGCCTAGCATACACCCACGAATGTTCGACTCGACATACTGGAGACAAACGTCGAGCTCCGTGACTCCATCGGTCATTTCTTCTTTCACAATTGTGTAATTCAAATGCAATGACGAATGGTTTCGACCAATGAGAGAGCAGCACGGGTTTCAACTCGCGCACAAACACAATCAAGCACAAGGTTGTGATGATTCGCGCTTTATGGCCAAGAAAAGATCGACAACACTTGCTTCCACCAAATGAAGCGGCCTAAAGACGAGGACCGTTGTCGCCGATCCATTCCATGACACGCCACCTGGCAGAATGTCAATAGCCAATCTGCACGCAGGCACCCACTCAGACAGCCCTTCGAGCTCTTTGACTTATTTCCTAGCGTGATGAAAGGTATTAAATCTGACTGAATAGGAAGGTGATTAGTTAATTATGTGCTTTCAGGACCGTTTGGCAAAGTGGCGGCGCTTCTTGACATGCTCCAACCTGCAAGTGTGTTCTATTTTTGTTTGAAAAGTGGATGAAGTCGCTCTGGGAAATGAAAAGGGCTCATTGTGTTGCGTGCGTATGTTTGTGTGTGTGTGTGGATGTGTGTGTGCCTGTGCGCACACCTGAGTCAACGAGAAGGAACGTGTAAATGTGCTGAGCCGGTTTTGTGTGTGGTCGGCTTTATTGGTAACCTCTGTTATCTGTCACTTGCAAGGATAATTTAGTATGGCAGGTGTCCAGATGATGGCTGGTGATGGTGTGTGTCGCTGCGTGCGTGTCCGCGCGCAGGCGCTTGTGGCGCGCTCATGTCGATCGTCGCTGAGACAACAGAATGAATGTGTTTTCATTCCGGGCCTCTCCTGGTACAGCTAATACTGTCGGCCGAAAGGTAATAGTCTATACTTCACGGGTAACGTGCGGCATATGATTTTACCCGCACACACAAAGCCATGTTTTGTTGTTCAATTTCTTGCTGTCAGTGTTGGAAGTTATGGTCCTGGGAGGTCTGACTTTGGTATGGATGGTGTCGCCGTGAAACAAAAAAAAAAAGGAAAGTAACAACCCTGTGAATGTTCTCAAGGAGTGCACTGTAAAAAAACAACAAAAAAAACGACGTTAGCTGCGGCTCCTGCTCTGGTATGACTTAATCGTAGCACTAAATGCTATTAGCATAAATGTTTACTTTTTGGAATGTAAATCAGTCGCTGATGGTGTGGTGGTACTATGTGTGGACTACTGTAGGTTCGTATTGAGGTATTCTTTTTTTTATTGGTATCAGTAATTATAACTCAACTATAGAGACTTTTGCCACCTCCGCTAATCCTAACTACAATTTATCACTAGACACACACATACGCGGATCAAGGGCAGAGCGTCACGTCCCTTTCCATCACGGTAAATCCCACCAACGGTTGTTTGAACACTTTTGTTGTCTCCATTTCCACTCGCCGTGCCCCGAAACCAATTCTCAGACACACTTATACACTCACACACAAAAGCACGCAGGGACACAATTTAATAAACACACGACAAACAAATACAAAGCAACACACAATCCAGGCCCCGTGTAGAGATAAATGTGACCAGCAGTCTTCACCCCCAGCAGTAGAAAATCCAATTCCCTTTCACTTTATCCCTGAGACTAATGTCACTGTCAAGGAAGACACCACCACCGGAGACCCACGGCTCTCTCCGTGTGTCCTCATGTGTGTGTCTTTGTGTTTGCTGCACAGAAAGTGAATTCATTTAAGGTGATGCATTGCTGCCTTTACCTACAATCTAACTCGAGGCCTCTGTGGTGTTGTTCTGCCTTCCCATGACAAGATCGTGACCCCCCCACCCCATCCCCTACAACACCCTTACCTGTGCTCCTCATACACATTTCCTCTCATCTACAACGCTTGACAACTGAAGAAAAAAACTGACGTCATCCATTAGTCAGCCGACTCCAAAAATTCTGAAGTCATTCTCGTTCTCACCATCATCATCTCTTCTCATGTGGTGACCTCTTCTCGTTTCATTCTCATCTCATTCCCATTCCCATCTTTCTTTTGTTTTTGCTCTCGTATGACTTCCCTTTGTGGAGGGCTCCCATCATCCTCTCTTATTTCCTTCTTTCGTTTCCTTCATCTTGTATTTAGAACCTTATCCCTTCACGAACTTTTCATATCTTCTTGTTGACTCTGAAATGCAATAATAGCAGCTACAACCTGTTGGCAATTAAAGTAAATGAAATCATTATTTAACTGCACGTCATGTACTGGGAAGGAAAGTCTGCTTGCATAGAGTACCCCAAAATAGAAAGATAGAGCAAATGCGGGACTTAGAATGTAAACATCATCTTTCCAGACACACACACACACACACACACACACACACACACACACACACACACACCCACACACACACACACACACACACACACACACACACACTAAATGGTTTGTACATAATTGTTTGCGATTGGCAAAGTAGGACTGTCGGGGGTCGTACGTTGAGTTAGCCTCGCCGCGAAGGAACGGCTGCTGTTTTAGTATGGGTGTGTGTTTGTGTGTACATGTGATTGCCTCTACTTTGTTAGTCATTTGTAAGCCCGACCAGATGCCATGCAGAGGGGCATAGTGCACACAGGGCCTGTCAGTCAACTTTACAGACACACACACACACACACACACACACACACATAAACATCCATGTGCAGGTGCACCGTGATTGAACCGCAACACGCCCCACACCTCCTTTCCCTTGAGGCTGATTAGTATTCATGAGATCTCAGGAGAACCCCTAAAACACCCTCCCTCTCTCTTTCTCTCTCTCTCACACACACTCACACACACACACACACACTCGCAGATATGCTAGTAGATCGGTCCGTTCTAATTATCTCCTGGCGTTCATGGGGAGGCTTGATTAGAAGCTGTCAGTGTGACTGATGACGACACGCCACGCGATCCCCCCAGAGGGAGGCCAGAGAAGAAGGCTGGTCACAGCTGCGGGCTGCACCGCGGCGCTCTCCTCGTCTCTTTATAGTCCATGTCTTTGTTCCGTATAATTGCACTTCATTACAGCTGCCTTGTTATGTCTCTTTCTAGGTAAGCCGGTGATGATCATAACAGAATTCATGGAGAATGGATCGCTGGACACCTTCCTCAAGGTGAGCGAGCGGGAAGCAACGGCCATAATCACTTGCAGACTTTCAAGGTCAGGTATGCAGCTCCTGATGATGAGTAGTCCAAATTGGGGTTTTACTCCACACAGCTTGTTGGAACTCAAAAAGGGGATTTCAACATCAGAAGGTGGAAAATTTAACTAGTGGATGTCTGCCTATTCCTTTTTTTGGGAGTTTTGTGACCTCCCACACCCACACCCACACCCACACACACACACACACACACACACACACACACACACTACTCCAACAAGATCAATGGGAACTGCTGACCTTAAATGACAAAAACGAAAGTCACAAAATCCACACACTGATTAAACAAAACAAAACAAAATCTGTTGTGTGTTGCAGTTTGTCTTATAACGAGGGTCATAAAGAGTGTCCACGGTGCCTCAATATCATAATGGAACATGTTTTTTACAGCTGATCTGTGCTCTCGGCATCCATATGTGTCTTTAATTATGCTGACCATTTATTAAACAGCTGTCCCTGAGAAAATACAAAACCGGAGATCTGTCAGGGAAGGACTTCCTCCCTCTCGTTAATATCCTACATTCCGCCTGGATAGCATCTGCCCCACAAATGTGCTCATGTATGCCAGACGTTTACAAACATAAACAAAACAAATATATATTTTTTCTCTCTCTCTAACTCTCTCTCTCTCACACACACACACATTTAATTCCTCCATTCCTCATCTGCCTCCTTACTGAGCAGCCCAGCAATACAATGTAGTGGGCAGATTAATAGAGGAAGTCTGTAGGTTTGTTAGACACTCCAATCAATCAGCATCTCGCAAAATCCACCAGCTAATTAACTTACTCCACAGCTGCTGAGGCGGCGGTGGGGAGGATACTGCAGCACGGTAGTTGTTGGTTGAGGGCGGTGTGCATATTCGGAAAGATGATGGCTACAAGATGAATGGATACATGGGGATAGAGTCCACCTAATTCAGTTCTCTTTGCCTGAGACAAGAAGCCGGGGGAAAGACAGAGACGGATGGAAAGAGCATCGAAAGAGAGGGAGGGAGAGATTAAATGAAGGAGAAAAGGTGACCGATAACATGGATGGGTTTTTAACGGGCGCCATTGGCCCATGGCAGAAATAATTTGCAGAGGAAGGTAAGCTGAACTGTCATCGATCAACAGGCTCCGCTTCGCGGACACAAAAACCGGAATCACGTGAGCGCCGCTTGGGCACATATTCCGATCCGCCAAGGCTTCGTGGTAGAACAAAAAAAAACAAAAACATATTTCGTTGACATCCCGCTGATCGTGGCCAAGTGCAGGGTTAGCGAGAGACAGAATGCATTTAAAAATGTTGTTTAGGGACACTTGAGAAGATTTTTTTGGGGGGGAGGGGGCTCAAAATTCCAATTGAGGCGGCTGAAGAATGCAGCATTCATAACGTCATTCTGCCTCTGCCGCCACTCAGTGTGAGCTTTTACAACGTACATCAACGTCCAGCTGCTGAGGCGGCGGTGGGGAGGATACTGCAGCACGGTAGTTGTTGGTTGAGGGCGGTGTGCATATTCGGAAAGATGATGGCTACAAGATGAATGGATACATGGGGATAGAGTCCACCTAATTCAGTTCTCTTTGCCTGAGACAAGAAGCCGGGGGAAAGACAGAGACGGATGGAAAGAGCATCGAAAGAGAGGGAGGGAGAGATTAAATGAAGGAGAAAAGGTGACCGATAACATGGATGGGTTTTTAACGGGCGCCATTGGCCCATGGCAGAAATAATTTGCAGAGGAAGGTAAGCTGAACTGTCATCGATCAACAGGCTCCGCTTCCCAGACACAAAAACCGGAATCAGGTGAGCGCTGCTTGGGCACATTCCGATCCGCCAAGGCTTCGTGGTCGAAAAAAAAAAACAAAAACATATTTCATTGACATCACGCTGATCGTGGCCAAGAGCAGGGTTAGCGAGAGACAGAATGCATTTAAAATGTTGTTTAGGGACACTTGAGAAGATTATTTTTTGGGGGGCTCGAAATTCCAATTGAGGTGACTGAAGAATGCAGCATTCATGACGTCATCCTGCCGCTGCCGCCGCTCAGTGTGAGCTTTTACAACGTACATCAATGTGTATTAATTCATCTTTCTCCTTGTTCCCGCAGAAACACGACGGCCAGTTCACGGTAATCCAGCTGGTGGGCATGCTGCGTGGCATCGCCTCAGGCATGAAGTACCTGTCAGACATGAGCTATGTTCACCGAGATCTCGCGGCACGAAACATCCTGGTCAACAGCAACCTGGTGTGTAAGGTGTCTGACTTTGGCCTAAGTCGGGTTCTGGAGGACGACCCGGAGGCTGCGTACACCACAAGGGTAAGACGGATTCACACGGCCTGATAATTCTGCGTTTCTTTTGTATGCTTCGCTGCATAGTGAAGATGAGCGTTATCATAGCAGGGATTTATTAACTTGCAATGTATAACATAACTCAATTCTTCTATTAGTAAGATAACAGCAGGAAGTATTCAAAAAAGAGCGGCGGCACATCTGCCTGACAGTCAACTACTATCGGTTCAAACGTTAGCTTTTCTCAAACAGCCCCCCCCCCCCCCTATTTCCCGCAAATCTTAATTCTTCTTAAATTTGCCTCCAACTTTGTGGAGACCAAAATGTCAATTGTGAGAACCGAAAATAGAATTCTGGTAGCGGAATAAACATGCGCATCACAAATCCTTCGAGAGAGAGACAAATTGCCGGCAACCGCATGACCTTAAAGTCCGAGAGCCCGCGGCCGAAGAAATAGTAAATGATCCCACGATGAGGACTTGGTTCCGAGACACCTGGTGGTTTAAGATGTTTCACACCAAGGGTGGTTTGTTAAATTCACATCCCAGAAATCATTTGAGACTTCATAAATTATGAACACGGACACATCGCTTTATGCTAATAAACTTTGACGTTCTTCCCTACATATTACCAAATTGGCGAAATCTTTGGTCGCATTACCGTCCTCGCACAGAGCCGTCGTCAGTGAGTTAAGCCGCGGCGGAGGAACTCATCTAAAATGCCCACAAGGAGATGGCATTATTCATATGCATCGGAGGAACTGTCGAGGATGTTATTTTTAATATGGCATTAGCATTGCCCTGGGAGGGGTGCATCAGCCGCAGACTGCTCCGTTGCAATCAGACACACGCCCACTGATGTCGGGAGACGTCGATGGAGAGCCGGAGGCGCTGGGAGGGGGCGGAGCAAGAGGCAGAGGTGGAGATGCGGAAGACATCCAGAGAGGAGCGGGAATCAAATGAGGCTGAGGGGGAACAAGGGAGGGACCCAGTGAGAGCAGTTCAGAGATAAGAGAGTAGGTTTTAGGGGCGGACAACGGGGGCCAGGGAAACTCAAGTGCAGTGCAGAGTGACTCGGCAGCTTTGTCTTTCACTTGACTTTGACCAAGCGGCGCAGAGACGGGCAATGCTCGGGCGCTGCAGAGGCAGCCGCCTGCCGCATGTTAAAAGGACGACCGGAGCTTTGGTCGTTATTGTGCACGTCGCGTGTGCTCGTCGGTGCGAAAAGGCGCCAGATCTCGATGGTGTCTACACTGTCGTTTTATAAAATCCATTTGATCCGCGCCCAGCACGACAAACGCACAACAAGTCGGATGAAAGCAGAAAAGGGAATTTGATAGCAGTCGGACGACGTGCTCGCGTAAACACGGGAATGGCGCTGCATAATATCATCGGCTCAGTCCTTGTCAACGCGGCTCTGAGCTTCCAAGCAACCCGGACTTATTATTGCTTTTCATTTATGACGCTCCTGAGCCAAATCCCCACGATAGCATTTCGTAAAGTTCAGGGTGACATATTCAATTAAGTGTATTTGGATTCTGTTCACTATTTCCAGGGAGGGAAGATCCCCATCAGGTGGACGGCTCCGGAGGCCATCGCCTACAGGAAGTTTACCTCTGCCAGTGACGTGTGGAGTTACGGAATCGTCATGTGGGAAGTGATTTCGTACGGCGAGAGGCCCTACTGGGAGATGTCCAACCAGGATGTGAGTCACAATCACGACCCCATCCTGGAGCCCACCGTTCTAACCTTCACGCATCATGAGAGTTGTGTTATCGGTGGGGATTAATAGCAAGCAGTAAAACACGGCACAGAAAGAACGCTTGCAGCCCTCAAAGCGCAACTTCTAGCAGACGTGATTTATTGGCCTCTTTTTTTTGTTGTTGTTGTTTGCAGGTCATAAAAGCAATCGACGAGGGCTACCGTCTTCCTGCGCCCATGGACTGTCCGGTGGTGTTGCACCAGCTCATGTTAGACTGCTGGGAGAAGGGACGCAGCGAGCGACCCAAGTTTGGACAGATCGTCACAATCCTGGACAAGCTCATCAGAAACCCCGCCAGCCTCAGAGAGCTGGCCAACAGCCCCGCAGGGTCAGTGGGAGAGCGGCCGAAGACCTCACGGCCGCTTTAGATTTCATTTTGGTGCTAGATTTTCTTGTCACCGACGGCAGACATTAGTCGCTGGCAAGCGACTAGCCTAAAACTGCAAAGACGAATCATGTGTTTTTCTCATGCCGTTAAATACAACAGTGAAGAAAAGCAACAATTTGTGTAGCTGTCCTAGCAAGTGGGGAAGTAACAAGTTTAAAAAAATAACAAACTGTCATACATGTCCATGTAAAGATCTGAAATGCTGTTGAAAATGCACGTGAGCAACTGCCAAACTACTCCGTTGTATCTCAACAGGGAGGAGCCCACCACTCCAGATTTCAGTGTCGGCACTGTGGATGAGTGGTTGGAGGCCATCAAGATGGGCCAGTATAAGGAGAACTTTTCCAGCTCCGGATATGTCAGCTTAGACTCAATCCTGTACATCAGTGTCAGGTAAAGAAGGGACTGGCAATAGAGGGCTCCGTCCTTTTAGCAATTACCCACAATGCACTACCGGCGGCCATATTGGAGGGCTGTTGTAAACAAGCCATACACAAATAGATTTTATTTATCGACGCTCGCCCATCGCAGAATGAGTGTCATACGAAATCCACTCATCGACACTCAAAAGGTTTTGCCGTTTCGCGGAGAGTGTGTTTTAATGTCTTTTCTCTCACAGATTGTTTTACGTTGTCCATCTTGCAGTGAATTGGCCAAAACCCCCCCCCCCCCCGCCCCTCCTACGAAAGGGAGAGACGTCAACGGACACTCCATTGGTTTTAACAGTCACTGAGTTGGAGGACAACATGGACACTTGACTCCTTCCACATTCTTGCATCATACTTCCTCCTCCTGAATGGACGCTACCAGCTTCGGAGTCCCGGCAGCAACACAACCACCAATACGGAGCAACATCTACGGCATCATTCACATTGCAACAGCTTCAAAAAAAAAAAAAAAAAAACATTTAAAAAAAAACGATTGAAAAAGACTGAGAGAGGAAAGACAAGAAAATAGAATCTCTTTCTCATGTGAGGTTTACAATTGCTTTCGTGGTCTTCTGGTTGCCGCTTGAAGAGTTTGAAAGGTGCCACAAGTACATTGTTGATGTGTAGATGTCTGTATGTTAGGTGGCGGCGAGTCCCACACCCGTATCGATGTGTAGATGGACCTAACGTTTACATTGGTTTTGAGGTTTGTATGCTAGTTTCTACCGAGCGCGTGTTCCAACATCCTCCATTCCTCAGTGCTACACGAGGAGGAAGGACGTGAATGTTTGGCTGTTGTGAGGGGTAGCGGACCTAAAAAGTAAGTATTGCAACTGGTAAAAATGCGTGCACACGGGGGGCAAGTGCTTCCCTCCATCTACCTAGACTTGGACTATCCAGAGTCAGTTTTCTTCCATGTCACCATTGCCAGCAATATCCAGAACAATATTGATCAGATGAAATCAATTTCCTCTCTTTTGATTCATGAAGGGAATAGTGAGTTGTATAGCAAATGTCAAAATCAAGTTGACACTGAAACCGAGGTTTTTTTATGGGTTTTTTTTTTTTTTCGTTTTGGTGAAGGGTCCAACAGTGGTTGATGGAGTCGTCATTTCCGCTTGTATGGCTGGATGGTTACGTGGCCCTCGTCACCGTTATTGAAAGCTAACGTATCTCAAACACAGAACCTTATGTTTGACAGCAAACGGCTCACCTTCTGTGAGGAAATGTCGATGGTTTGCCGAGCAGTCGGCGATCAGGTGAAAACTAACGGGACCTTTGGAATGGCACCGAACCTGGTTTTCGGTGTTTTACGATGTAGAGCAGAGAGTGGCATCCCGCACCATATATACGATTGTATCATAGTGTAAAATATGTACAGTGTTGATTTCCAATAATAGAATGTTTGTAACGATGACGAGGATGACCATGATGTACTTTTGTTCTGAAAAAGAGATTCGCGAGTGCGTGTTCAAAGGGGGGGAAGGGCAAAGAGGAGAAACGTACGAGGTACTGGACGCGTTCGAACGGAGGAATGTAGCATGGAAAAGGAGCTTCATCTTTGATTGACGGGCAACAGTGATCACGGTTACGACATCAAATTAGAATAAGTGGAATGGACTTCGGCTGATTCGAACCCAGAAATTTCCATTGGCTGCTTGAGTGTAATGACGGAGGCTCCCGCTGCGCTCTGCGATTCCTTGATTATGTTTGTGCAAGCAGGGATGAAATGTGAATTCTTTTTGTTTGTTTGTTTTTTTTTATATGTACTTGCACTGAAAATGACACCCACTCACCAAACTCACTCCCAAACTGATGATTGTCCAATCATAGAAACCAAAAGTAATCCTAATTGACCTGCTAGCATTTACAATTAACAAAATGCGCAAGGGCATTGGAGAGGACTTACGGCGTTAAGACAGACTTGCAGGGATGAAAGGATTTGGGGGTTTGTTTTGATTGCACTTCCAAAAAAGGAGAGGAAACCATTTCAATGAGTTTTAGAATAAAATAAATAAAAATGGTGTTTCGTTGCCAAAAAGGGGGTGACTTGGGGATTCGTTTGGCTCATCGCGCTTGTGTAAATGACACATTCGTGTAAAAAAAAAAAAAAACGAAGTTCTCGCAGTCCAGGGGAGGACACGAGAATGGCGCTGTCAGACGCGTGACTATCGGACCACTTGGGCAGATAACACCCTAAAAGTCAGCTTGGCTGTTTGGAGTGAGGTAGTGGAAATTGTTGAACTGTCAGAGTGGAGGCAAAGCATTTTTTTTTTTTTCAGCCTTTCAAAAACAGAACATTAATAGCCGATCATTTTCGGGACTTCGATAACAGCCAGTCAAATAAACTTGATTTATCATTGCCAAACCATTCGACCGCAAATAAAAAATACTCTCATCTGACAGCGTGAGCACATTCTACTCATACTAAATTTGCAATTTCATGGATTGGGTGGAGTTCCCTTTGAACGGTGGCCTTTGGGATGCCTTATTTTGTCTTTTTGTTGCCCTACGGAGGCCATTATGAGGAGTGAAGTGTACGTAAAGGAAGGATTTATCTGGTCTTCAAATGTCCACGCATCAGCACGCTTTCATTCGAACCATCGATTTTGTTATCTTGATGTGGGGAAACAGTTTGCAGAAAAAAAAAAAAAAAAAAGTCGCATCAACGGACAGTGTTGTTATTTATTTTATGTTCTGTGAACTAAACGAATGCAAATGTGATTGACTGACGCACCTTTGGTCTAACTGGTTGCATATTGTATTTTGACATGGTTTGAACAATCCTGCCAAATTTGAATGATGATAAAAAAATAAATAAATAAAAATTGCCCGAGCACATACGTAAGTATTTATGTCATCTGGAAAATTGATGCTACTTCATAAAAAAATCGCAAAAAACATGTCCGCTTAAAGTCTCTGGTGACTGGAAGGACCGCCAGGACATTGCGGGACTTAAAACGTCTCAATGAGAGGCGCTAGCCAGCAATCGTTTGCAAAGTAATGGCCAAACTAAGTAACTCGTAATCGTGCCGGAAAACCACCGACGCGTACGAAGCCGCTTACTGTTTATAGAGTGAGACAACATAGAAATGCGATACGCTCCAAAACGAAAATCAGGAAAACTGAAATGGTGAGAAACAGGTTGAAAAGTACCGTATATCGCCACAATCGGCTCCACACAGCTGTCAGTGTTCCTTTATCTCTCCAGTTGTCAGTGTTTGTATGATTTCAGAAAATCCAACCCCCCCCCACGTATCATGTATTTACAAACAAATCTCAGAATTCACTTTACAGGGTTTTTTAAGATGCCGGCACATTCCTTTCGTAAGCCTCAAATCCCAAATTTGTCCCCAATTTCACTTGGCGACGTCAAGTGACGTGGCTCGGTTTGGCGTCATCTTTTGACAGTCTTTGTCCTCCATCTGCGTTCTTGTGAATGTTCAACGAGTGACTCTTTTGAACCTCCTCTCACTTTTCCTTTCTTCGGTCACCAAATACTGTGTCGAGGGACCATCAAGCCAGTTTCCTCTGTCTTGCTCGTCGTAAAGTTTGTCGGCATTCTCATGTCTTTCATGTCGCTGTAATAAATATGCTAATATTTCTAATTTCTTAGCTGTCGCCTGTATTGTCCCTTTCTTTCATTGTACCTCACACACTTGTACCACACACACACACACACACGTATGCACGAGCGAACACGCCGAGTAAATTCACAAGCGCGATTCCAGAGAGACCGCACGCAATTCAAAGTGCCTTTACAGGAAAGTAATATGAGAACTTCGCTTAATTATTTTTGCTGCTAAAAAGCTTTAAAGTATCAAATGTTGTGTTGAGTGCAGACCAGTCAGTCCAACCCCCTTTTCCCCCCGCTCCCTCCCTCTCTGTTGCAATTGTGAAGGTGGAGTCAAATTGTTTCATAATATTTGCACATGGCAAACCTCGTCCAGCCTGTGACCTCATCGTGAGTCACAGTGTGAGTGAGCATCGTTTTCCTTCACGAGAGACAATTTTGCCACCTTGGAGGAGGAAGGTCCGTGACGCCTGGCCTTAATTAACCCCTTAATAAAGAACCCCAGTTGCTGTCGCTCCATATTACCGGCATTCCACCTCATTTAGGCCAGCATATCATCCAGATTCCCCTATCACCCCCCGTCCCCCTCCCACACCCTCACTCTCAAATCCACACGTTTGCACACACGAGGCAATAAATACAAACATCCTTCCAGGGGCATCTCTCCATTTCCTCAATATCTCTCTCTTCCTGCTACCTTAATCTTTCCCCTGGCCTCACGTGCTCCCATCCTGCATGTTCCAATCCACGTGCTGCAGGCAGTCCGAAAGCTAGCAGTCGGTTTTCAGGCGGTTATCTTCTCCCCATTTTTAAATTTCCCGCAACAGTGCAGAGGTCGTGGGTTGGATCTCGGCTCCGGCCTGCCTTTGTGGAGTTTGCATGATCTCCCCGCGCCTGCGTGGGTTTTTTCCGGGTACTCCGGTTTCCTCCCACATTCCAAAAACATGCATGGCAGGCTGATTGAACACTCCAAATTGTTCCCTAGGTGTGAGCGTGAGCGCGGATGGTTGTTCGACTCTGTGTGCCCTGCCACTGGTCTCGTATACTGCGGCAAATACGTAGCACCACCCCTTTTACACAGAAGCCGTCCCCACTCTTGTTTTAGCTCATGGCTAGTGCATCGTTTTTTGAGACGACAGGACTATTTGTCCAGGGCAACAACGCCACAGCGTCTGTTAAGAGTGGAAGCCATGAAGGCCAAACAGTAAGATGGGGCTTTGGTCTTGACATGAGGAGAATATCATTTCTCGTGTTTACTCAGGAGGACGCCGAGGTCGGTGCGAGCTCGTCGCAGGCAATTGATTCATCGCACAGCTGCTATTGGCATCAAGTGAAAAGGTCACGTGTCCCTATGGAGAACACTTTAAAAGGCCATAGATGACTGATGAGCCTGTCATGTTTCTATCACATACATGTCCAAGTGCCCAGTCTCGCTGGGTCTCGCAGACAAAATCCCACAGGAATGCTAATTGGTGCACTCATTCATGCTGTCACGGGTGGATTTGACCGTCCCCTCGGCAGCATCAGAAGACATTTACGAGAAAACACAAGAGACCAAAAGATTAGAAGTCTATCGGGACCTGTGCACGGATATAGATATTTTTTTTAAAAAGTAGAAATGACATCTAATCCCGAGCAAATGTTATTTAATGTGACATTTTGTCATTTGTGTTTGCGTTACCTGTGTCCTCTCTCATCAAATAAGCCTCCGTGTTTGTCGTGCTACACTTA